TTTTTTGCTTATTCATGAAAACAGACTATATTTCAGTGTCTGCTTTGGGATGAAGGTGTCTGCTTTATTCTGTGTTCACTCCCAAGTGATTGGCCTGTTAACAAGAGATTTGTGGTGCTCTGCTTTGGAAAGCTACCTCCTTAAAGGCAAGTCCTTAAACATCTGCCAAGAGACTTCAGGGTCTGTGTTCAAATTCCTCCTAAAATCTCTCCCTTGTGACAACCCCTTACAGGAAACTGGAGAAGAGTAAGGAAGCTGGTGTGTAAAGACTTTTTGCCTGTGTCGCTTCTCAGTCCTGTCTATTTCCTCTTACTTCTGTCTGTGTCTATTTCTATACAGTCTCAGGTCTCACATTTTCACTGTAAGCTGCATGGGCCATGAGGAGGGGATGATACATTCACACAGGCAACCAAGGGTCCTGGTTGCTACTGGGGCATGTATGGACTGTTACAAATAACATGTAGGAAACCCAGGCTGGTAAGGGGTACAGTGCAGACCTTCAAGGCGAATGGGAACTGTTAGCATGAAAAGTTGGGAGGCAATTTTCCCTCTGTGTTAGATAACTATAGATGCCCTGAATTTCACGAAAGTCTGTTGGATATAACTAACTTTACAATAGGGGAAACAAAGCCTTGACTCTTAAAAAGTTGTAGTACCAACAGTTGTAGTACAAAGAAAAAGGATGCTCACACATCCACCCACACCTCAAATTCTTCTGGACAGTCTGCTGGTCAGCAGAAGTGCACAAGAAGACTAACCCGGTGTGCCCTGAGAAGCAGTGGAAGGACAATTCCTCAGCTAGTGCTGTCCTCACCTCTGCTGAGGCTGGACTGAGGGGACGGGCTTAGGACTAGAGAGCAGCATCTGCAAATACAGGTTAGAAGCTGACAGAAAGGCCACATTTCTGAGAGACTTAAAAATCAGTGGTTTTGTGATGTGGATTGTGGTTCCTTCAGGAACCAAGATATGACCACCAAACTTGGTCATATCTAGGCCTTTACTTACACTAATCAGGTTTTAGTCCTTTAATGGTGATGAAACAATATTTTTCCTGTCACTATGTTATTTCCTTTTCTCTTTACCTACTGTTTTGTAGAAAAGATTTTTTCTTCAGCCATACCACTTAGAGGTCTGGATTTTTCTTTCAAATGACAGTGCATTTCAAAACCCCAGTAGGTTTGTGGCAAACTAATATGGTAAAAACGTGAACTGTTTAACATAATAAGAAATGATCTCACATTCTGAGTTTAACAAAATATCCTGAAACCAGATACTTATGCAAATGATAAGCTTCTCTTCTCCCCATTACATCTCAAGCAATTCACCAAGCAAGTTCCTGTCACAGAAGAAAAAAACATGGGCAGCATGAGACAGGCTTTAAAGTGTGAAAATAGTTTTGTGAGAAATAGCACTTTGCAATGGGAATTCTGTAGGTTTGCCCTAACAAGCGTTCAATGAAGACAAGCAATTCAAATCACTAAAACGTGAGCGACTAACCCAAAATGAGAAAGAAACTTAAATGACAAACCTGGTTATTTAACTTATTAGCAATCTGACTAATCACAGTAGTGAAGTCCAGTGTTCAGTGTAAATTGTGTGTCCCTCTCTGGGCTAAGCTGAAAGAGGCCATAAGACCCACACCACTCCTAAGCTAATTCCTCAGTTTAAGGCTCTGCAGCTTAGCTCTGCAAGGCCCTCAGTCCCCTCCCTTCCCCTCCTCTGACACTTTGCTGTGGCAGCACATGTAGAGCATAAAAGGTTTCCTGTGACCTGGGGATTAACATCACCCCTAAGAACAGAGAGTTCTGTAATATAATTATGTGCATTAAAGGAAAGAGTTATCTTACACTGAGCTTTTGTACACAGCAAGTGCAAAACACAGGCTGTTGGAGACAGCCTGAGGAATACCCTTCCTGAAAGAGCTTCTGAATCTCAAAGTCAAAGGGAGGGCTCTTCTTTCACCCACTCCCTTGCCCTGGCCCTAGGCCATGTGTTAGGTTCCAGTTATGTGGAAAGGGTGGAAGAAAAAAAAGTTCTTAAGATGAGGAAGTCAGGGCAGGAAGGTACCGGACTACACAGACAAGAAGGAGCAGTAACTAGGTAAGACAGGTCCTGTGGCTGTAGCTGACAAAGCATGGGCTGTGATGCACAGGGAAGGTGGACCAAGCAGAAGTCCAGAGGCTCTTCATCAGCTGAAGAGTAGTTACAAGAGGGACACAGCAGAGAGAAAATGCGTTCCCAGACATTCTTGTGGATCTTATTTTAGGGGGGAACTAATTCAGTTGCCAATACCTTGTTCCATGCCATAACTGAGCTGGGAAGGATGAAAGCAGTGAAGGAGAGATCTAATTTGGAACAAGATCTCTATTTTACTGCATTATCCATCTGCTATCTGCATAAGTTAACTCCAGATTTGAAGTCTGATTAGCAACAATAGAAGACACCACAGCAAGGTGATGTCTCTCCATTGGAAGGGTGATACTGGGCTCACCTCAGGCTGCCCTGGCTGTGAAGACAGAGACAACTTTGAGATTCCACAGGGAGATATACTGTGCCTTACTTAGAAGAGCAGTCATCGTAACGTAAGGCTTTTAAGGAGGAACAAGGATAAAAAGTAAAATGTGTTATATCTGAAAAGGCAGTCAGAGAACAAAATGGAAACAAGATGAGTACCACTGGAAACACAAAGTTTGCCAGGGCAGTCTCAATTGCCAGAGAGAGGAGCGCCAGACCCCTACCTCTCACTAAGTTGGACATGAGCTGGCAATGTGCGCTTGCAGCCCAGAAAGCCAAGTGTATCCTGGGCTGCATCAAAAGAAGCGTGGTCAGCAGGTCAAGGGAGGTGATTCTGTCCCTCTACTCCACTCTCATGAGACCCCGCCTGGAGTACTGTGTTCAGCTCTGGAGCCCTCAGCACAGGAAGGACATGGACCTGTTAGAGCAGGTCCAGAGAAGGGCCATGAAAATGATCGAAGGCCTCGAGCACCTCCCCTGTGAGGACAGGCTGAGAGAGTTGGGGTTGTTCGGCTTAGAGAAGAGAAGACTCCAAGGAGACCCGATTGCGGCCTTTCAGTAGCTAAAGGAGACTTATAAGAAAGATGGCGATAAACTTTTTAACAGGGTCTGTTTTCTCCTCCAGGTGAAACACTGGAACAGGTTGCCCAGAGAAGTGGTAGATGCCCTGTCCCCGGAAACATTCAAGGCCAGGTTGGATGGGGCTCTGGGTAACCTGATCTAGCAGAAGATGTCCCTGCTTACTGCAGGGGGATTGGACTAGATGACCTCCATGGTCCCTTCCAACTCAAACTATTCTATTATTCTATGATTCTATGATATGTAGGGCAGTGAGCACCAAGTTTTACATGGCAATCCTTTGCAAGTGTTTCGTGGTTAATTGCACCATCGATTTGCAGTCTCGACCTATTATCAGGAGATATTATGGTTGGGAAGGCTCAAATGCATCATTTGTTTAACTGCATACAAAACCAAAGCTCAAAAGATACATAGAACAGGTAATTTGGTTACTGCTCTGGATATGAAAATGTCAGGCATAACCTGGTAATTTTATGCCATAAATCTCACTGATATTCTGGTACATGTTGTTGCAATAGCATTTATTTAATATTAAACTATATATGAAAATGGATTTAAGATTGTCTAACCAGTCATACAATATGGGCTTGATTCATATAGAGTGCAGGTTTTCATTCTTCTGTCACTATATTTATATTTATTATCAGTTCTGTTCTGAATGCTGGTTAAGATCAAACTGACTATGAAACTGTCATTGCAAACAATTTTTGCATCATCTAAGTATGGATGCAGTAAATTTATTTGTATCATTAGGTATTTATGTGATTTCAAGATCAAATATTTATCCTGTATCTTTGGGTCGGGCAGGCTACTGTTCAAGAACTAATGCTGTTAGTTTTTCTAGGTCACAGTCCAAAACTAAGTCTTCACAATCTGCTAGATCTACATATATAAATGAGGAAGTTCTGAAAGAACTTCTCAAAATGTGGGAAAAAGTGTATTTTTATTATTAAAATGACCTTCAGTGTAACTGAAGTGTAACTTAATTTTTATGGAATTCTTTAGGCAATGATTCATGGATATGACTATCACATAAAAAAGCAAAATTATTTTCAGATCTTACATGACTTAAAGGCCAGTGGGTGAAAATTGTTTCACTGAGATTTGAAATGAAGCAGGTGATCTAAGCAGAGATAGCAATAATCAAAGCTCCTGCAGTGTTTTTCATCTGTTGATCTCAAGGTACTTAGACAGTACAGTCCATAGGTAGGGAAAATACTGTACAGATGTGGAAGTCATTAGCTATAAACCTAGATAGATAATTTTTTCTTGGAAACAGGAAAGCCTAAAGAAGCTGTGTTATGATTCAAGTCACATTGCTGATATGAAAAGATGAAGTCATTGCAAGTGTAATCAGTATTTTGAAGGGGGCAGCAATTTTCAAGCATCTAAAGCACCAACATTAAGGCAAAGAATTTGGGGGCGAAGGGAAGTCCTCGATAGAAAAGTTAGCTCACACTGATTCACTGTGCCATGCTAGGCAGAAGTACAGTTCGCTGTGTGTTGTCCTAGTAGGAAATACCTGATTATTGTTAAAATATTAAGTGCAAGCTGGCAGCACCAAAAGGGCCTGAACTGCTCTATTGGATGATTACCTTTCCTCCCCCAATTCTTAAAGCAGAATGGATGGCAGTTTCAGATTGAATATATATTTTCCATCTGCTGAACAGTTGTTTTTGTTCATGTTGTTTGAGGTTAACTGTGCACGTACTAATCAAACCCACTACTTCCTTTCTCGTAAAACCAAAACAAAGCTTCATATTACTTTCAGGTACAGCATCTGGGATCAAAGCTATATATACACACACTGACTCTGTGTGGGTTCAAACATTTCGAAGATTCAGTATCCTGAAAGGTATCGCCTTTTTTCCAGTCCTGAGAGTTCCAGTTTGTCTTAAAGTCTGAAGGCATCAGCCACCTTCAGCCCCTTCAGAATCTGTCCCATCAATATTGGTCATCGTGGGCTTTCTCTGCACAGCCACTGCCATTGCTGAAGGTGGGTAGATGAAGGAGGCAAGGTAGCTGGGGGTGTCTACATTTTCTCAGTTTCACATCTTTGCAAGAGGTGGACTGGGTACAACAGGGAGAGGGAGATGACATGGGACTCCTCCATAGGACAGTCTGCGAACGAGGTCGTGGGGCACTGCAAGGCATCTGGGAAACCAGACACAGACTTCAGAGCAGTAGCATCTGTAGACAGGCTGGGCAGTATTCAGAGTAGCTCCACAAGAAATATTTTGACAAACCAGGCCGTGTGAGTGAAGTTGCTGGCAGCTGATAACATGGATACAGAGGTTTCGATGGATGGAGAAATTCCACTTCTCTTTGTCCCAAATTCTTGCACTGCAGAACTGAAGAAGATAAGCCCTGTCCCAAAATGGACTGATATAAAATGAAATTGAACAAATAATACTGAGTCTTCAAAGCTTATTAGAGCAAAAGTCATTGCCTTCCCATCGTGTAGCAGGATAGAGTATGGAAGATGTAAAAAGCAGACAGTGAGGATGTGCAGGATACACTAGTTTCCCTTTAAGATTGTAATGATTTTTTGCACTATGTTTATAGCTCTGTGTTGATATACTGTGGCTTGGGTTACATACTATTGCTGTAGTGTGGCTTGGCAATAGCTGGTTAAAAATGAGGAGCAAAAAAATCAGAAACAAAAACCATGCAAACAAGTTTTCCATTCAGTCTTACTGTTACCCTTAATGGTTCTGTTCCACGTTCCATACAGTATGTCAACCTCTTTGTTTCTAAATGTGAACATGCTTATTTCTACCAGGCAGAAATTGTGGTTTAAATGACTAATTTTAAATTACAAATTTCAGCTTTACCATCTGAAGTCTATTTTTTTTTTTTTTTGCTTTCTTATGTATATTAAAAAGCCTGTGTTGAGGGGAACTGAAGCATGCAGGTCATTGATCCAGTAAGCAGGCCAAATTACCAACTGTTTAGGCAACAAGTAATTGCTGAGATTTATAATATCATTCATAGTAATCAAAGCACTTCTTGAGCTTTTAAAAGTATATTAATGTGGTGCCTATGTAAATTGTGGTCTTAGAATCCTTTTTTAGAAGGATTTAGCAGCATTTCTAGGAATTATGCATGGATAATAGGACGTGGTAGGATGCCCTTCCTATTGTACAAGTTTCATGTAAATAAATGACTGCAGATAATTTCTTGACAGTTCACTTACCATTATGCTCTTTACTTCCTTACAGTAATGGAAGTGACTCAGCCAGCAATGGTGCTGGCCAACAGGCAAGGGGTCGCCAGCTTGGTGTGTAAATACAAGCACATTGGGAATGCAAAGGAAATTCGAGTGACTCTGCTTAGACAGACGGGTGACCGGTTCACTGAAATTTGTGCTTCAACATACACAACGGAATTTAAAATGTTCAGTGTGGAAGAGGTCATTCAGTGCCACGTTAGCCCTAGCCGAAACAATGTGACCCTCACCCTCACTGGCCTGCAAGCTAATGATACTGGTCTTTACATTTGCAAGATGGAGCGGATGTACCCTCCACCCTATTTCATGAACAAGGGAAATGGGACACATCTCTATGTCATTGGTAAGTCAAGCAGTTTTACAGTACTGTGATATTCCCAGGTTAAGGGAGTTGCTGTTAAATCTCAAAGGTCTTTGAAGTTCTGTTTGTAAGAACAATTCAAGCTCTGAAAATCATGATTAGCTCTTATTCCTTTCAGGTCTCCCTGCACACACCTGGAGCAGGCATAGTCATAGCCATGCAATGTACATAGCAATGTGTGGATGTTTGACAGCATAAGCAATATCATATAGCATATGTGTATGTCTAGGCAGTTAGATATGTAAGTGCAGAAACTGCAGAGAGTAAAGTGAATGTACTTCTACAGACAAAGCCTATTTTCACTGGAGATTGAGTGGGCAGGTTCAGTCCTGGTAGTATTCTGGGACAGCACATGCTAGACAAAAGCAGTGTGGAGGCTGACTTACTGACTCTAGGGGCTTCCTTATGAGGCTTATGTGTGACATGACTTGTGTGATATATGTTTTAGATCCAGAACCTTGTCCAGACACTGCCATATATCTCTGGGTATTAGGAGCTACTGCCTCAGGATTTTTTCTTTACAGTATCATCACTTCAGTCATTCTCGCGGGCAAAGTGGTAAGTCCCATCAACTCAGCCCCATTCTGGTAATAACACCCCTTTTTGTGATGAGGACAAAGAGACAGAAATGAGAACAGGGAAGAACACTGGGAACAAATGCACTGGGATGCTCCTTTTTCCCAGTGCAATGCTGTTACAATAACGCAAAATAAGAGAATTTGCTGGAGCTGCCATTTAGATTTGTTTATGGCTCATTTGTGTTGCCAGAGTACCAGAAAGCAGCCAGCTTACATCAGTTGGACTGACCCTCGGCTTAGGTTTGGACGCTTAGAACAGGTTGGAGTCCTGGATGCTTCTGGAATCAAAAGCAACAGTCTTCACGTGTGCTCTGATTTCACAACTGATTCATACAAAATCCCAGGATTTGATTTTGCCTTTTCTCACCGTTCACCTCTGTGCAAAGCAAATTTAAAGAGGCTTCCCCTTGTGACGGGGGGGAATTGTAACTTATAGAATTTTTAACTTCATAGCTAGAAAAGACAAAGGCATGTGAAATACAAGCCTGGGTTGCTTCTTTCCATGAGGGTCTGGAGTACTCACAGTCTGTTAGAAATAAACCTGATGCCAAAGCTTAAAACCAAACAGTATCCCTATCCCATATTTTTCAGTCTGCCCTTGTCCCTAGAAGCTAAATGAACCTGTCAGGTGTGAACACTCCTAGTTTTGAACCCACACTGGACTCTACAGCAGGAGCACCTTCAGAGGGCTAAATGAATGGCAGGACTCTTGTTTTTTACTAAATGGCTCCTGTAACTCCTGATTCTCCCTCAAATGGTCTCAACAGATCTTCTACAAAGCGGGGGGATAGGGAAAGGTGTCTAGAATACCTTCTGCTCAGTAAAGGCAGAACACCCACCCATCAGTTTTCTCCAATATGTGCTGGTCAATGATTACGCTGTGATCACTTCTTTATTTTACTGTCTTCCTGTATTTTATAGATAAAGAGAAGACGATGTCTCACTACTGGGGTCTATGTGAAAATGCCTTCTGAAAAGCTAGAGAAAAAAGTTATTCCATTCCACATCACTGTAAACTGAAACAAGGAAAGAGAGAAACCGTTTCCTAGCTGGGATGGAGAGTCTGCTAATTCACTTAAGTGAAAGAAATAAAAAGAATTGTCTTATTACAAAGGTGTATGGGAAGGAGAGAGAATATTCTTTGTAACTTCTATGGTTTGGAGGAGAATAAATAGTTTATGCATTAATATTTCAAGGTTAACCCTTTCACATAAAAATGGCTACATTAGGCCATTGATTCTTCAAGTTGTATTGTACCAATATGTAGTCTATATATATACACATATATATATGTATAGCATTAAGAGCTATTGCTGTTGCAGCTGAGCATCTTACTGTCAAATTTCACCGTGTCTACTGACCAACTGAAATCCAAACACTATTACAACAGAGGCTTGTGTGTCATTGCAAGGCTAATCCTATAGATCTGGGGGCAGAGGCAGAAGAGCACACTAATGTACAAAGGAGTGTTGACTTTTTTCCCTGCATTGCTATTTATTGGTCTCATTTCTAGCATTAGTGCTCTGCACTTCCAGAAAGGCATCCCCGTAGGCTGGCACTGATGACACTGCTGCCTAATCTCAAGCTCCTTTCACTGGCATTGTGTCCCAGCAGTGCAGAGATGGAGTTAACATTGATGATACCTGAGCCAGTGCTGACAGCTCGGTCAGAGTGAAAGGCTGCCCAGCGGGAGCCCTATTGGGCTGGTAGGATGTTCCAGCTCTGCTGGGGCCTCATGTTTTACAAATGCTAAATTAGCATCTATCCAAAAGGCAGAAGTATGTTGCTGTGTTTAACTGAGTCTATTTTCCATGAAAATACTGACAGTGTATAATCTTGTTTATTAGTTATGTACCATTCAATAAAAACCTTGAAGCTTTGCCCAAATTCAAGTTCATTTCTTTTTCACCATTCTCAGAAGAAACAGGAAGTGGCTACGTGTTAGAAAGCAGCAAAGACAAGATGAACCTTTCCCTTCTGACCCTGTGTTTTGCCCTTCTGAGGGAGACTGTGTGCTCATGCCAACACTTACTTTCTCAGCTCTCCTCCTCAGAAGGCCACCATTAAAATCTGTCACATCTTCTATTTGTCTAGTTAGAGCTGCTGTGGTATGGTGCAGAGATGCTACCAATCACCTTTTCACTTCCAGCGAAGTTACTGATGTGCAACATCTCCTGAACCTGTTTATACAAAAAGCTAGTCCTAGTTTCAAATCCTGTTTTTTTTCACACCTCTTTGACACTCTCACTCACTAAATGCTAGCCGACACACAAAGCTGCTGGAGTTTAAAACAATTTCAGCATTCTCAGCTACTACCTACTACTTTTACTCTTTGCTACCAAAATTTTACCTTGCAACCCAAAAACTTGGCAGCATATGTGTCTGTTTGACAGCTGCAAATCCATCTTCTTCGCTGACTGTGAACCCAAACCCCCCAGCCCTCTACGCCATGTTCCTGCAGTGGCAGCAGCTCCCAGAACACCAAATCTCATTGGTCTTTTGGTTCGCTTTTCTGCTCTTGCCCCTTCATCTGGCACGGCCTCCAACTATACAAATAAACATTCATATTCTCAATTTGGCAATGTTTGCAGGTGCTAACTGCTCTCTCAGTGCAGATAATTGTAGTGCATTAAGTAAAAGAAGAATCTGATGACATATCTTTGTTTCTGAAGATGTTTTAGTATTCTGACATCAGTCTTAGATTTTCCCCCTGATTTTCCTATTTTGAGGGATAAAAAGTGGTCAAAAATAAAGCATCTGATGTCATTGCAAAATGACTCAATTTTTGCCTTTTCAAGTGCAGCCTGCTCAGAGAAATGTACAGGTTGTAAAGTCTTCCAATAAATTTACCTTGGCAAAGCAAGAATAATTATCCAAGGCAATTTTTTTCCACCACAGCTCAGATATCCCCTGAATCATGTGTCTGATTCCTAGACAGTAATCAACTGTTTCTTCTTTTTCTTGTCCTTGACAACTCCGACACACTGGGACCAAGAACTTAGTTTCCTTAAGCAATCTAAAAGCAGCTCAAGTGAATTATTTTCTAAGTTTATGCCTCCTGGGTGAAGAGATGCTTTGGACCTGTATCAACAAACTCATGACCTCTGGCCACAGCTGGCTGTGAATCTGTGTCACTGTAGAACATGTGTATATTCCAATTCACCTGCATTTCTCAGAGGCAAGTTGACCATGGCTAGGCCTTCTGCATCCACCTGGACTAATCCTTCTTAGTACACTAGTATTTCCATGAGACATTTGGCCTGTAATGATCAGTGAAGAATTCTGCCCTAAATAAGCTGCAGGTTGATAGATAACCTGAATAATGAAGGTTACAGGAGAACAGAGCAGAAACGATTATCTCACATATGGCAACAGCAATATTTTGTGTTTGCTCCTGCACTTAAATAATTCCTGGTATTATGTTTATTAAATATCCTTTTGGAAATTACTTTGCCCAAGTTCTCTGTCTGTTCTGAACCTCTCTTCATGCTCACTAGCTAGTGTTTCCAGCCTTATTTCTACAGTGCTTAATTTTCTCTGGCTTTCCTTACCACTGTAGTAACCCCTGAGCTAAATGCTATATAAGTACACATTATCATTTTTGTTCTAAGCCAGGTTCCTCTTTTGAATAGGTGCACTCAGATCAGCAGACGTAGCAGTGAAGACCAAACTGGGATTTCACTTCAGATTTTATTGACAGTGATACTCTCATAATTTATATGTGGCACTACAGAGATGAGTGGAGCCTAAGTGCCTGTAGAGATGATATTTATACCTATGGTATAAATGGTCCATATAGCAGCTACCTCTGAAGAGTGCACAGCCATGCTTTTCCCTAATACTTGGCGAGCATCTTGCCACAATCAGCACTCAAAAATATTTGACATACGCAAGTCAGATATAGTTTTCTGTCAGATCAAAGCAGTACCAATATGAAAGGTGCAAACTCTACATCGGTGTACATCCCAGAAAATGCAATAAAGAGGAGATCCTTACTCTTTCTGTGAAGAATGTGAAAAGCAAAGGCGAAAGGATTTGGTCTCAGAATTCTGCTCATTAGAACAGGGAGTTTAAAAACATAACTGAGTATCTCACCTGGACAGCCAAATAATGAGACCATGCTGCTTGGTGAGGTTCAGGAAGAGTCTCTTTTGATGTGCCCTTCATCCAGCCAGGAGGTATGTCAGCCTGTTTGTGAAATAGAGATAGTAAGTTTCTGGCTGCATCTGAGTGGGCATTCACAGGTATACTTGTCTGCATCAAAGACAAGGTCATATGCATACAACACCCCCACCCCTCAATATTCTGCTTTATTTTTTGTCCACTGTTTTATCTGAATTATTTTTCTCCTTGCCATTTTCAATTATCAGAGTCCTAGCTGACACAGAAGAACATGTGACAAAAGTCTCCCACTTGGCTACTCTATGATTAGGCAATGAGTAGTCAATCTTTTTAGCATTAGAGATTTTCCTGAAAAATATTCAGATTCACCACTTTTTGTAGGAATATATAAAACTGAACTCACTATTCAGTCAAGCCTTGAGGGCTGGAGGGAAAATCCATTCATCCTGTTTTCCACAGATTTTTACCAAATTAAAAAAAAAAAAATCAAGGACCCCTTAGGCTATGTAAGAGCAGATTTTTGTTGACCTATTCGTATCCTTCCTAATCTCCTGACCTTTGCTCATAATTCTCCTGGGCCCAATTTCTTGTTTCTCAGTAACCAACATTTGCATTGGCCAGGTAACTCCCAACTGATTTGATACAATTCCTGTCTGTGCACTAACTTCAGGCTTTGCAGCTCCAAAGGGTACAAGCGTGTGTGTGAGGGGCTGAGGTGAGATTTGGAAGCAAAGTACATTGGAAGGTAAAATTGCAACTGGCTTCTTCCTTTCACCAGACAAAAGCCATGGCTGGGGAGTGAGCCCTGAAAAATAAAGCAGAAAATGCATCAGTTTTCCCTGTGATGGGAACAGTCCAAACCATGACTAAAGAGCTCTGCCTCTAGGAGAGGCATCAACAGGAATCAGATAACGTAGCCAAGAGTTATATCATCAAATCCATACCAAAGAAGGCTGGTGTATACCAGATGGTTTTATGCACTACTGAAAACAATTTATTCTTGACATTTGTAAACTGCACGCTTGCTTGAACACATAAATGGTACTTTGAGCTAGCTTCTGTCACCGGGGGACCTCTAGAGTCGCTGGGAGAGTAATGTAAATTTTAAATGCAGGCTTATGTCTGGGAGGGAGGTGTGGGGAAGAGGTGAAATTCAGAAAATTTTTGAGCTGCAGAGAATCAGGAAAGAATTACAAATACACAGCACCATACTCTGCTGATCCTGCAGATTCCTGAGCATCACTTGGGCATAATTATTCCTGTACTTCTACACTCAGGCATTCAGCACTTACATGACTTTGTTATAATTCTGTGTGAATGTTTTTTCTGACTGATAAAAGAACAGCCTTATTTAAGAGTACTTTTGTGTTGTATATCTAAGAGGAATGGTGAGGAACTGTGGTATGTTTGAGCAAATAACAGTTATTGATAAAAGATCTTAGTAACTATGGGAATGGGGGTTGTAAAAATTGTCCCTGAAGTCAGTTTAAAAATTTGTGTTTTTTACTAGATGGACAGAACAAGGAACAGTTCAGGTAAGGGACAAAACTTCACTGGGAATCATTAATAATTCCTGC